ACACACCCTTCCCACACCCCGCCCACACACACCCTTCCCACACCCCGCCCACACACACCCTTCCCACACCCCGCCCACACACACCCTTCCCACACCCCGCCCACACACACCCTTCCCACACCCCGCCCACACACACCCTTCCCACACCCCGCCCACACACACCCTTCCCACACCCCGCCCACACACACCCTTCCCACACCCCGCCCACACACACCCAAGCCCTCCCTTCCCACACCCCGCCCACACACACCCAAGCCCTCCCTTCCCACACCCCGCCCACACACACCCAAGCCCTCCCTTCCCCACACAGACAACAACCCACCGAGTCCGCTGCGGTAGATGCGTTCCTTCAAGGCAGCAGCAGCCGTGGCCGCCTCCGCCACACTCGGGTCATTCACACTCTCCTCCCACGGCGGCAGAAGAGACAACAGATGCTGTGCCGCCGCCGCCCGGCCCTGCGCTGCCAGTACAGTCGCGTACTCTGAGACAAGCGAAGCCGCCCACCTGCCGCCGACTCTGCTTTGTCCCGTAGCCAAGCCCAGCACCACTGCCTTCTCGATAAGATCCTGCATTTGACCAAAAAGATTAGGAAAGGGAGAATGGGGGGGAAAAGGGGAAAGCAATGGGAGGCACGAAAAGCAAATTCGATTCAATCCCTTGTGCTACAGCAAGCCTTTTCCATTCCAATCAGCTGCCTCTCACACCTCTTCAGATCAAACCTGATTTGAAGGTGTGGCAGAAACGGAGTGATTGTGATGGGTGCCAGAACATCCATCCATGCACTCTATTCTCGACACTGGGCTCGCTTGCACGCTATTCTCGACACTGGGCTCGCTTGCACACTATTCTCGACACTGGACTCGCTTACACGCTATTCTCGACACTGGACTCGCTTGCACGCTATTCTCGACACTGGGCTCGCTTGCACGCTATTCTCGACACTGGGCTCGCTTGCACGCTATTCTCGACACTGGACTCGCTTACACGCTATTCTCGACACTGGGCTCGCTTGCACGCTATTCTCGACACTGGACTCGCTTACACGCTATTCTCGACACTGGACTCGCTTACACGCTATTCTCGACACTAGGCTCGCTTGCACGCTATTCTCGACACTGGACTCGCTTACACGCTATTCTCGACACTGGGCTCGCTTACACGCTATTCTCGACACTGGGCTCGCTTGCACGCTATTCTCGACACTGGGCTCGCTTGCACGCTATTCTCGACACTGGACTCGCTTACACGCTATTCTCGACACTGGGCTCGCTTGCACGCTATTCTCGACACTGGACTCGCTTACACGCTATTCTCGACACTGGACTCGCTTACACGCTATTCTCGACACTGGGCTCGCTTGCACGTGTGGCAGTGGCAGGGAGGCCTGGGAGGACGGCTGCTCGTGCAGCAGGCGGGAGGCCCAGATGTGCACCACTCGGTCGATGAACCCCACACACATGAAGCACTGCGTTGCTGCCTGCCACTGGTGACACAACACCTGTACAGCCTCTAGACTGCACTCACTTGCAGGTGTGGCAGGGGAGGGGACGCCTCTGGGGGCTGTTGGTGCAGCAGGCGGGAGGTCCAAATGTCCACCACACGGTCCAAGGACTCCGCACCGCACACATGAAGCAGAGCATCGCCTTTTGAGGCGCCTCAAAAGCCATCCATGCACAGAAGTCCCTAGAGCGAACTCACTTGCAGGTGCGGCAGGGGCGGGGACCCCTGTGAGGGCTGCAGGCGGGAGGCCCAGATGTCCACCACTCGGTCAATGGAGCCCGCACACATGAAGCACAGCGTTGCCGCCTGCCACTGCCCCGCCGCTTCCAGCCGTCCTGCCAGCTCGTCACACAACACAGACCACTCGTGGCTTGGTGCGTACTGTGACAAGGGAGGGGGGTGGTGACACGAATGGTGAAAAGGGAAAGAGTGGGCGAATGGAAAGGGGTGCTTCCAGCAGCGCTGCCAGCTCATCACACAACACTGACCACTCGTGGCTCGGCGCGTACTGTGGGCGCAGGGGAGGAGTGGGGGGGGGGAAGTTGAGACGTCCTAGAAGAAAAAAAAACAGCGTTGCCGCCTGCCACTGCCCCGCTGCCTCCACTCGCCCTGCCAGCTCGTCACACAACACTGACCACTCATGGCTTGGCGCGTACTGTGAGGGCAGGGGCGGGAGGAAGAGTGGAGAGGAGAAGGGAGGTGGAACGGATGAAGAAGAGGCGAGGAGAGTGGGTGAATGGGAAGGGGGAGCACGGAGCAGTCATGTATTCTGTGGAACAGTGCGAGGAGAGAAGCAGCTACCAGTGAGAAAAGAGAGTACGCAATGAAGGTCAGGATTTAATCAGCAAGAAGAGAATGAGGGGCTTACAGTGCAGAGCATGGCGAGTGTTTCCCGCCAGTCAGAGAGCGGCTGCGACGCCACGAGCCCTCGGATGTCACTCGCCACCACCGCTCCCAGTAGCTGTATGTCGACATGGTGGGGGGGGAGAGGAGGGGGAGGAGGGAGAGGAGGAGAGGGAACGGGGGGAGCGATTAGGGTTGTGACGTCACAAACCTCATGATATATCTCAACGGAAAAGCGAGTCCGCCCAGGGAGCTCGCTGACCGGGGGTAAAAAAAATAAACCCCTATGGGAGGGGCATGCCATCCGAGGGAGGCATCAACCCTAAACACCTTGTCGCATGGTGTTCAACGTTGATGCCTCCCTAGGATGGCATGCCATCCAATAGGGTTTTAGTTGTTCTTGCCCGCCGGTCAGGTCGACGGTGGTCGACGGTCCGTCGACCGACCGTCGACCTCGTTTTGTTGAGACTTTCCCTCGGGTGTCGCTCGCCACCACCGGGCCCAGCAGCTGTGCTCCCCCAGGCCAGGGTTTCCCGCCAGAGATGACCTGCGCATGTGGATGGAGGCACAGAGGTGTGGAGATGGGGAACTTGTTTTGGAGACGTCACAAAACTTTTGAAAGGTCTCAAAACTGGGTTTCCCGCCAGGGATGAGATGAGCATGTGGATGAAGGCACAGAGGTGTGGAGATGGGAAACGGAGAAGAGTGGGTGGGCAAGGGGAAGTTGGGGAGGGACGGGGAAAGGGGAAGAAGGGATTAAAGGGGCCAGGGTGCAAGGGGCGGAAGAGGAGGCACAGACGAAGCAACGCTGTGTCGGCCTGGCTCACTGCGTCTAGAAGAACAGATACCACAAGGCAGGCTGCAGCTGGGTGAAACTGGGGTGACACAGCGAGCGGGAGGTTCTTGTGCACGGCTAGGCCCATTTCAAGTTGGAGGGATTATGCAGGCAGTGGGACGGTTCAGTTCACGCGGTATCATCAAAGCCACTACTCAGAGCGCATGGCATGGCATGATGGCAGGCAACATCTCACAAGCCACATGGCGCCCACCACCCGCACCAACCCACCCCGGGAAAAGAGCGGCGGCGGTTGCGGCGGAGGTACCAGCGCCGCCTTATAGTCACTTCTGAAGTGACTCAAAAGCAACCTCTCAGAACACACAGGGCGCCCATGGCAAGCCACGCACCTTGAGAAAAGAGCGGCGGCGGTTGCGGCGGAGGTACCAGCGCCGCCTTATAGTCACTTCTGAAGTGCCTCAAAAGCAACCTCTCAGAACACACAGGGCGCCCATGGCAAGCCACGCACCTTGAGAAAAGAGCGGCGGCGGTTGCGGCGGAGGTACCAGCGCCACCTTATAGTCACTTCTGAAGTGCCTCAAAAGCAACCTCTCAGAACACACAGGGCGCCCATGGCAAGCCACGCACCTTGAGAAAAGAGCAGCGGCGGTTGCGGCGGAGGTACCAGCGCCGCCTTATAGTCACTTCTGAAGTGCCTCAAAAGCAACCTCTCAGAACACACAGGGCGCCCATGGCAAGCCACACACCTTGAGAAAAGAGCGGCGGCGGTTGCGGCGGAGGTACCAGCGCTGGGTGCGCGCCCAGAGGTCCGAGTTGAACCCCGCCACTGCTGCCAGCACCAGTGCATCCGCCACCCTGCCCGCCGCCAAACACCTCTCCACCGCCGCCTCATAGTTCCCCACCACCAGCGCCCTCTGCACCTCGCCCTCCCACTCCCCCGCTCCCTCCTCCCCTCCGTCTTCCTCCTCTTCCTCCTCCTCGTCCGCGTCCCCCTCCCCTGCTCCGTCCCCAGTGATCTCCCCGTTCTCCCCCGGAGCTTCTCCTTCTGCTCCCCCTGCTGCGGCTGCAGCGGCGGCGGCTGTAGCGCCGGGAGTGGTGCTGCCAGCAAGATTGTCAAAGAAGTCAACATCGCCCGTGGCGGACGGGATTCCATCCAGCCCTGCCCCCGCCACAACCCCCCCTCCTTCCCCACCAGCACCGTCAAGAGACAGACCTCCCACTCCTGCTGCCGCCGCTTCTGCTCCCGCCTCCCCTCCCGCCGCGGTCTCTGCTGCTGCCGCTTCGGCTTCAGCAGCGGCTGCAGCGGCAGCAGGGTCTTCGGCGGGGGGCAGGGTGGGGTTGGGGATGTGGATGGGGGGGAAGTCGAGATGTGCCAGCAGCTTGCGGCGTGCATCGTCTTCAAAGAGGACTGTGAGGAAGTCCCACGTCTCCCTGTCCTCTGGGGCACTGGGGGGAGGGAGAGAGAGAGTAGTAGGAGAGAGTGGTGGGAGAGTGAGTAGTGGGAGAGAGAGTGGTGGGAGAAAGAGTAGTGGGAGAGGGTAGTGGGAGAGGGTAGTGGGAGAGGGTAGTGGGAGAGGGTAGCGGGAGAGGGTAGTGGGAGAGGGTAGTGGGAGAGGGTAATGGAAGAGGGTAACGGGTAGTGTAAGAATCACACTTTGCTGTCCAAGGGGCGAGACTCAAAGGAGTGTGTCACACACGGACGTGAAAACATGAAGTCTTTATGTGCTCCACACCATGCTAGGGAGCGTACGGTGCCACAATCCATTGCACACAGACTACAGAACACAGCCCACGCATACACCACCCTGCCCACCCAAATCCCGCTTGCACCCTACCTAACCATTCCCAAACCTCATTCACCACATCACCACCCCCACCACTGCCAACAGCAGCAGCACTCACGTGGCGAGCTGCGCCTTGTGTTGGCAGAACGCCTTGAGGTTCTCCCGGTCGCCGCCCGCCACGGCAGCCTCAAACTCGTCAGCGCGGGCCACCACGGCCTCCTCCGTGACCACACTGTGCACCGCCACCTGCGCTCCCGCCTGCCCCGCCTTGCTTCCAAAGCACAGCAGCCGCCCGCCGAAGCCAAAGGTTGCTCCGCACGAGCGCTTCAACCACTTGGGCGCACGGGATGTTGCTGGGGGGGCGGGTTGGGGGAGGGGAAGGGAGAGCGGGGGAGGGAAGAGGGTTTTCTTAGAAGTGAACCAGCGCCAAAGATGACTGCATGGCACATGGCGGGTGGAGATTAATCAATGCGGCGGCACATGGCGTAGCATGGCATGGCATGGCATGGCATGGCACATGCCGCTGCCGCCTCGTGGGCGCGGCTCACAGGCAGTTTGGCGGTGGCAGCCAGGTGGATGGGCGGCAGGCAGGGTGGCAGGGAGGTGGGATTGAAGGGAGGGGTGTGATGCAGGGCGGGGATGACATGGGATGGGATGGGATGGGATGACATGTGATGGGATGACATGGGATGGGATGGCACAGAATAGAACAAAGAGAGGGACGTACCCATGGGCGTTCTGTTGGCAAGCGACGCCCCAAAGTCCGACTCCTTGCTGCTGGCGGACTGGCAGGGACAGCGCAGAGCAGCAACGATCAACAAGGGGGTGGAGGGGGGGAGGAAAAGTTTCAAAGATCCAAAGAAAGAAAGGCGCAACATCTGGGATAAAAGAAGGTGACCAGTGGGTATGGGCAGGGACGGAAGGTTGGAAGGAAGATTGGGAAAGCTTGCAATGGGGCAAGCGAGCACAAAACACGAATGGAATCCTAAGTGGCCGTCGTGTAGGCAAACACGAGCGGTGATGCCTTGCCTCCATGTTGTAGAGCGAGACGTGGCTGTCGAAGCAGGAGGCGACATTTGAGTCGATTCATTAGTCACAAAAAGGTCGACAAAAGCGGAAGAAGCATGACGCACCTCGATGTTGTAGAGCGAGACATGGCCGTCGAAGCAGGAGGCAGAGAGCAGCCCCGGCACCCGTGGCGACCACTGCAGGTCGAAGTTCCAGTTGGTGCCCGCCGGTAGCTCACACAACACCTGAGGTGGGGGAGAGGGGGGAGGGGTTGAGTCGACTCAAAACACAATCTGAGTTGACTCGAAGCACACGTGGCGACCACTGCAGGTCGAAGTTCCAGTTGGTGCCCGCTGGTAGCTTACACAACACCTGAGGTGGGGGAGAAGGGGGGGTGGGAAGGGGTGAGAAGGAGAGGAAATGGGAAGGACAGAACAGGGGAGGAAGAGAAGGAAAGGGAAGAAGGGAGTGGGGAGGAAAGGATCTGGAGGAAAGGGAATGAAGGAGGAAAAGCTTTGAAATTACGAGCAGCGAGTGTGGTTGCACTTGGCACACGTGAGCAGCAAACAGTTGTTTACGAGTCGGTTCATACTCTTTCAGCCACATTCGACAGGTCTCACCTCGCCCACAGATGTGTCCCAGCAGAGAGTGCGGTTGTCCTTGGCACATGAGAGCAGCAGCCCGCTGTCACTGGGACACCACGCCATGGCCAACACTCCTGTGGGGCAGTGTAGGGAGAAGAGGGAGGAGAGATTTGTGAGTCAGTAGAACGGACATGGGCCGTATGAGGCTTTGTTGCAACTTTGTTTCGCGATATCTACTGTGCATGAGGCGCCTCAGCAGCAGCAGCCCTGTGCAGCCGCAGCATCTGCCCACTTACATCTGCTGCACTAAACTAAACAGTTTGAAAGTCCCGCCAAAAAGCACATCCATCCCGCGTTGCAATTGCAACACACGCACTGCACATAGCATCTTGGCTCATCTGCCAAACCACCCATTCTAGTTGCAGCTCTCGCAGAAAGGCCAACACGCAAGACTCGAACGAACATTGGGACTTGCAAAGCGGGCAGCACGGAGCGGGCAGCAAGCGACTGAGTTTGAGGAAGCAGTGGCAACGTAAGGAAGGGGCACCTTTGGTGTGCGAGGTGAGCTCTTTCACTGGCGACATGGCATTGCGCAGATCCCACACCTGCTCGCGGGGGAGGAGGAGGAGGTGGCAGCGGTGAAAACCAGGATGGATAAGGATAAGAGCAATCAACGGTCCACACCCGATAAGCGGTAAGTTGCAGCAGGGGAGGGGAGAAGTGGGTAAGAGCAGGGACGGCGAGCGGGCGAGGGGAAGGGGTACTCTAGTTTTGAGACGTCTCAAAGCGAGGGGAAGGGGTACCTACCTGGAGGGAGGGCGAGCGATCGTCATCAGAGGCAACGATGAGCTGTGTGGCGATTTCGGGGTTCCACTGCAGACACGAGCACCGCCTCCTGCTCACTGGGTCCGCGAAGCTGATGTGGCGAGTGCCGGGGAACGGCATGGGAAGGTATGTGGGCAGCGGGAGGGTGTGGGCAGAGGGCGGATTGAGGGCGGCAGTGCAAGATAGGAGGACAGCAAATGGGATGGTGCAGAGAAGAGAGGAGGGAAGAGAGGGGGGATAGACCAATAGCGGGATAAAAGACGGGATAGGAAGGAGAGGGGGCGCACCTGATGACCTGCTTTTGCTTGCGGAGATCCCAGACGACTGCAGGGATGAGAGAATCAAGGGGAGGGAGGAAGGGAGGAGTGGCGGAAGTGAAGATGTCAGGTGTGCCCACGGGCAGCCGGTTTAGGTGAGAGTATGAGCTTTGCTGTGGGTATTCACAAATGAGTGACTGTGGGGGGGGTGGCGGTGTGGAGGGGGTGGGCTAGTTGGGAAAATTACAGTGTCAGGGAGAGCTGGCACTTCCCATACCGCAACCCATACCACTTCCATACCCACCCCCATATTGCACCCGATACCACCCCCATACCACCCACCACAACCACCCACCGCACGCACCAGCCCCTCCCCCCCCCCCCCCCCCATAGCTCCCAAGCACCACAATAATGGGCACGCACTTGACAGGTCAGCAGGCACCATAGCACTCTCCAAGGCATCCCCGTAGCAAACACCCATAAAAAAGCCAGCACGCACCGGAGAGGCCGCTGTAGGAGGTGGTGGCAACGATGTGCTGCACCTTGCGGTTCCACGCCAGACACGATATCTCCCCCTGTGGCCCTCCCCCCGCTCCCTGCTCCAACCATACCCACCCACGCAGCACAGCAGCACAGCAGGGAGGGCATACAACATCAACATAAAAAAGTGTGGGAGGAGCGATCCAGACTAGCCTAAGCGAGGGGCAAATTGAGAGAGCGGAGGGTAATAAGCAAGCAGCCCACACGGACCTTGAGCGAGGGGTAGAGCGAGGGCGCGGAGGGGTTGGCAAGGTCCCAGATGCAGAGCTCGCCGTCCTCCGCGCCTGACGCCAGCAGGTTGGGCGCCGCTGGGTTGAACTCCAACCCGCGCACCTGCCATCACAAGCCAAGCCACGCCCACGCCATGCCGAGCCAAGCCATGCCACACCATGCCAAGCCGTATCAAGAGGTGTCAAGTCATGTCAACCCGTGCCAAGCCGAGCCAAGACGTGCCAACCAATCACTGCAGGAATACTTGCGGTAGATAGGACGGGGTACAGTGAGCTTTTGTAAACGGCACTGAGCGCATGCGACGGGAATACTCGAGATGATGTGATGGTTGGAGTGATCAGGAGTGCGGTCACAGGTTGGATATGAGGTGTTTCGGGATGAGCAGCTCAAGCAAAGGACGTGGTTTTCCTTAAGAAGATCGAGGGACAGAATAGGTAAAGGCGCTGCTTCGACTGTCCGTATCGTTCGCACCGCACAGAACCTCTCTCTACCACTCTTTTCAGCCTGCGTGAGTCGTGTGACTTCCCTTGTGTTTGTCGCTCCTGCCCTGTGCAGAGCGAACCAGCCCTCGTTCCCCAACACTACACAGTATGTTCTCAACTACCGCCCTTTCGCGCTCATTCCTCAACCTCGTTCGCGATCGTTACGCACCGCCCACTTGTGCGCCACTCACCGCGCCCTTGTGTGCCACTCACCGCGCCCTTGTGCGCCACTCACCGCGCCCTTGTGCGCCACTCACCGCGCCCTTGTGCGCCACTCACCGCGCCCTTGTGCTTGGACATCTTGGCGACGAGAGCTCCCTCTCCCTCGCCCGTCTTGCCGCTGCAGCTCCAGAAACCACAAGCATCGAAACGACAATGACACACGATAGCTTGTCAGCAAACACGAGCAAGAATCAATTTCGATTTCTAGCCCAGCATAGCCTTCTGTATCATCGGAATCATCACTGCAAATAAGACGAGCGACTCAAACTTCGTACGAAATGCCGCAATTTGCGTGAACGGACCACAATAAAAAATTCAAGCAACGTCAGACCCAACGACCCAGGACAAATGCCTGATAAGTCATGCGGGCACCACGGCTCAACGCATTTCAATCGACTCAAAAACCGGTCTGATTCCACGCGGCGCCACGATGCGAGGCACCACGCATCGCATGCGCTGCGTCTTGCAGCTAATGCCCGCACGCGCCATACCTAATGATCCGCGCGGGGTTCCAGAGCGCGACGGTGCCATCAATGAGTCCGCCCGCAATGATGCCGTGGCTGAATGCCTCCGACTGCTCCACGCCGCACGATCCCCATGACAGCCGATTGAACCGATCGCTCGCCGTCGCCGCCCCCAGCGACGGCAGATCCGATCGCCCCCCCCCCGCTCCCGCGCTTCCCGGCACTCCGCCAGCCGCCTTGCCTCCGGATTGGTCAGGGCTGCCCAGCCCGCCAAAAAAATCGTCCGGTGACACGTCAGCGGCGTTTCCGAAGGTTCCGGCCGGGCTGACGCCAGCGCCGGAGGAGGCGGCAGATGCGGCGGGATTGTCGGCGGATGCGGTGGTGGATGCGAACTCGAGGCGGAAGATCTCGAGGCAGGCGGAGGAGGAGAAGGAGAGATCGATGGCTCCCGCCATAGTCCCCATCGCTATAAGCGGCTCCGTCGGCGCGAAGGCCACGGTGGCCGATCGATGCACCTCGCACAACGCCATCTTGGCGACTTAATGCGATCGGCTCTTCCGGAGGTCTGACGATGATTGGTCAGGTTACTGACAGACCAGCGGATATGACAAGAATGTAAATCTCTCAGAATTTCAACAACACGATGTCGGATCTCGTCCGATCAAAAGCACATATTACCGAGCATACGAAGCCGGCAACAGCGTTGTGCGCACGCTTCGAGTGCGTGCGTGACGGAGTACTGCTGTTTACCAACCACCTCCTTGGGTCGCTAATCAGAAATCACTTAGGCACTGGGAAGCCAGATCCCTGCATTCGACGATCTGTCGCTGCTGATTGGTGAATTGCTGCAACATTTGTTGGTGTGGTGGGAGTGGTGAGATTTGTGTCGGGTGGAACGGAAAACCCGAGGAAGGACTCGCTGGTCCTCCTAAAACAGAGCAATAGGCAAAGCACTACACTTGATTGCTACGTATTACGAAGCACATGATTTATGATTTAAATATATTTGGGTAAGGATCTTTAAGAATAGAACATATTGTCAAAATCAACTGTGCAGGAATGAGTGCAAGTACTAGGTTTGACCTAAAGTGTTGTACTCAGTACAAGCTACCCCAATACAGCCTACACATACAAATGTAATTTGACACACCCCCTGAGGCAAAGTGGGGGATAGCAAACACAACGAACGATCACAAGACCAGTCAAGCAAGAGAACAAAGCAAAGCAAAGCTCAGGGTGGATCTCAAGAACACCACACAATCTGAGCACAAGCAAGCGACCACAAGGCCAGTTCATATGCAAAGTTATAATAGCAAGGCAGTACACTGATCACAACCTAGCAAGAGTAAACAAGCAGGTATAAATATATATATATATCAATGTACAATAAGAGCAAGTCAAGCAACCAGCAGGTGAGGCAGAGTGGGCACAAGCCCAAGAGCAGTGCAGAAACGTTGATGATCACCAGACCTAAGGGCCTTGGTGAACACATCAGCAGTGTTGGCCCGCGAGGCCACGTAGGAAAGGCGGAGCTGACGACGCTACTGCAGCTCACGAGCAAGGAAGTAGCGAGGAGAAATGTGCTTCGTTCTGTGCTCTAGTCTCTGCTCGTGACACAAGGCAAGCATTGCCTTGTTGTCGACGTACAGAACTGGAGGAGAACGAGGTTGCTCCCCCAAGTCGGTCAGCAGGTAGGTGAGCCAGCGTAGCTCCTGTGCAGCCATGGCCCCATCGTAGATCTCGGCCTCACAGCTGGAACCAAGCACAAAAGAAGAACGAGTGGACCTCCACGAGACAGAACCAGAGCCAAGGCTGAAGGTGTAACCCTGTGACGAACGCTGAGTCGCCTGGTCGTCGGCCCAAGAAGCGTCGGAGTGTCCGGTGAGTACCACCGAACCCTATCCTCCAAGCACTAGCCCCATGCCCGATGTACTGCACAAGTAACGAAGTACCCTCTTCGCAGCATCCCAGTGCACCTTTCGGTGTCTACCGGGTGCCACGTAGCGAGCCAGAAGGCTGAGAGGGTACGCGAGGTCAGGTCGTGTGCACGTCATCAAGTACATGAGGCAACCCACAAGCTCTGGGTACGGACCACTCGGCTCTACGGACTCCTCTGAAGGTGGAGCTGAGAGCGAGTGCCCGGTAGACAGAGATAATGTTGAGACTTATGCACTTCAAGGAATTCGTATAGTTAGTACAGTAAAAGTACCGATAGAGTGACGTCAGCAAAGCGCTACGCGCCTTAGGATGACGTCATCAGTAGCTGTAGGTATCGCGAATAGTCACGTACCTTTTCAGAACAGGAATAGCGCGAATAAATACAGCACAGTAGGCGAACAGGTACTTTAGTCTAGTTATATATTCTGTATGCTTGTCATTTTATAATATACTTGATTTCAGAGACCTTTGATCCTGTTACAAGTCACTCATATAAAAGACTTCCACTGCTACAGGAAGCTACTATCCTAAGACTACGATCCTATTCAAACAGTTCAGATTCTAACATGGTATGAGAGCAACTTAGGATTAAAACAGCTTCCATCTGCCTATTCTACAACTATGTCTGGATCTCCAAGGTCCAACAATGGCTCTTCTGTTACGAGCCCATCACGCCCAACTGCGTCTCCAGCTGCTGATAATTCACATCTGCAGCAACAACAACAACAACAACAACAACAACAACAACAACAATATCAGCAACAACCGATGTACGGCATGCCATTGAGCAGTCAGCCCGTACACACAACTACAGCAGCGGCATCATCGACAGCAGCCGCCGCGACAGCAGCAACAGCAGCCTCAACAGCTGCAGCTGCAGTCCCTGGTTCTTCAAGTCAACCGGGACAACAGTCTAACTTCGTTCCGACTGGACCTTACCAATGTCAAGGTGCTTACCAACCAGCAAATCTTCAACAACGTGTTAATGCTGCCGTCTTGTCGCTTAACCAGATGTTTCCAACTCCGATGAGCATTGATGGCTCCAGTTATCAGCGTGGTCAGATGCCACAAGGAAGTGATGGGTCGAACAACTCTTTCTCCTTTGGTCCTGCTGGACAAGGACAACAAACACAACAAGGGTCACAAGCGCCATCACTCTATCAGCTACAATCAGCTGACGGTACCGAAAGTTATATTCCTGCTTCTGCAAATCCTACAAAAATCAAAACGACAACGCCTTTTAACGGTCAAGATTTTTATACCTGGAGCTTTGAGTTTGAGCTTCTTGTTCAGACCGCGGGGTTCTGGCAGCTGTATGACGGCACAGCACCATTTCCATCACACGGGTCACCACTTCAACAAGCCACTTTTCGATCGGCGTCGCTGACTGCATACACAGTTCTCGTTCGTAATCTGACTCCGACTGAACAGCTCGGAATTCGTTCTTTTCGTAACAGTGTCGCTCCCGCTGAAGCAGCTTGGTTATACCTGCAAGGGGTTCACATGGCAAAAGATACTGTCAACCAGAGTAAAATTTTGACGCAGCTGTCAAATATACAGATGATAAACGGCGAGAAGGTGACGCAGTATATTAACCGCGCTCAAAATCTGCGCGATCAACTTCAGAAGTGTGGAGGGTACTTCCCCGACGCTATGTTCCACACGGTGCTACTTGCGGGTCTTGGACCAGAATGGCGACAGTGTCGCTCTATACTTCGGATGCAAGCACAGTTGTCCGAGGGGGCACTCTGTGCCGCTCTCATCGCCGAGCAGCAGGATATGGATCTGCACAACGCTCGAGGAGGGAAAAAGATGGTAAACAATACAGTCAGTTTTTATTCTAATCCACGTCACAAGCCCGTTTGTTCTTTTTGTCGAAAACCAGGACACACTATTGATACCTGCTGGTCGAAAGACAAACCATCTTGGAAGCGGTCTGCTTCGAAACACAATAAAGATTCTTCAAGTGAAGCAGAGAAGCCGGAAGCAGAGAAGCCGGACGCTGAGAAGCAGAATACTGCGAAGCTGAACTCTGCGAAGCCGACTACTGCACCTGCCAAGACACAAACAAAAGCAGTTATTAATTGCATGACATCAGTGTCAACGGTTTATGATCCTGATGCTGAAGAGCGGATTCACAACCGGTTCAACAACGAACACAACACACCGATTCCACCTGAGGTCTATGCAAATCTTGCACATACCATTGCAGGTCCCAATACTTGGTACCTCGACAGTTGCTGCGGTCAGCACATGTGTTCGTCAGAGGCGCGTTTCATCGTGAATCAACGCCGTCTGGAGAATCCCGTTGTCGTCACGGTCGCCAATAACCAACGACTTACAGCTCACTGGATGGGAAGTATTGTTCTGGACTCAGTTGAAGAAGACTTCAGTCTTCACCTGAACGAAGTTCTTCTGGTCCCTCGGCTTGGCTTCAACCTCATGTCATCTGCACAGCTTATGAAGAACGGGATTACACTTCTCGGTGAACCTGGGAAATTCACTCTGAAGTACGGCGACAAGAAACTCGGCACGGCAGTTGAGCAAAACGGTGTTTTCGTTTTGAACTTCATACCTGAGCGCACTACTGCCGACTCTGATAACATTCTCTCGCTTGGTCCTTGGGAGCATCGTGATGATATTGATTACACCGACGATACAGTTCCACGTGAGGGAGTTGTCCCGACGTCTTCAACCACGGCTGCCGCCGTCATGTTGACCTTTGACGATCAAGGCTTGAATGATGTTGAGAACTCTCGGGAGTACATGGCTGCAGTTGAAGGTTGGGGTGATCCGACGAACATGCCGACTGATGACGGCATCTGGGGGGCTGACGAACCTGATGAAACAACTTGGGGCGAGACACCTGCTGAACGCGATGCTCGTCTTCTCGCTGAAGCTGAACAACGCGTCGCTGAAATGGAGATTCTTGACTCCGGTCGTCTCGTTGGAGTTGAACCTGTACCTGCAGCATCCGATCAAGAAAGCTGCGAGTTAGTACTTGCTCCAGGCGAGTACGTGGATGTTGAGGTTCGTGTTCCACCACCAAATCTTACTCGTTACGTCGCACCTGCTTTCGATCAGATCCGCTCCGATGGTCATCAACTTCTGTTGTCGTTCTTCGCTAACGCCGAGTATTACCTGCGCGCACAAGGTCACAAAGCCACGGGAGAAACATGGCATAAACGACTTGGTCATCCGTCGCAGTTTACGCTAAACAACACGATCAAGGCTGCAGTGCTTGACAAAAATTTCGTTACTCTTACCGAGCGGTCTCGAACTGAAGCCGGTGAATCGCCCGGCACCCTGCACCATCTGCCCTGCGGCAAACCTACCGCACGAGCCGTTCCCGACTCATTTCCCTGGAGCTGACGATTATCAACTGATGGATAAGGTTTACAGCGATATACTTAACTTACCTGAGGATGGTTTCAACGGCGAACGCTACGTTATCACATTTACAGACGCTTCTATTCGTTACGTTTGGACTGGAAACATGACTAACCGTTTTCTTGCGTTTACAGCA